TTTGAAATGAAATTCTCTCTGAGAGTAACTAAGCCTTAGCCAGGAACATGCAAGCGTGGAAGCAACCCGAGCCCCTGAAGATGCCTCCAGTGGGGCCTGCCCTGGGCTAGGTAGGAACCGGGGAGCCTTGGGTGGGGCTGAGGGCAGATGTGTCTGAAGCTCCCAATGGGAAATGGAGCTTTTGGGGATGTCTGGGTTAGCCCAGTGGGCAGCTGGCTGTCCCTGTGGATAGGGCCTCACCCTTGGCAGAGTTGGAATGTGGGGAGGGAGTGCCATTGTCTCTGCTGGCATTTCCGGTATCACCCTGGTGCTTCTACTTTTTTTCCTCTAATCATGCTCCCATCACTCCACTCCATCTGCATGTCCTCCCAGTTCTCCACCTCCAGACCAATGACTTCCCCTTCTCCCACTTCTGTTATGGGATCCCAGAGTCTGGAGCTGTCTTACCTTTCATCCTTCTTGGAGCACATTGATAAGAGAAGAGTCTTATTAGAAGCATTAACTGAGGTTGACCCCAGAAAAATCTGGCACTTTCTTTTTGCCTTTTTCACCCCAAAGGCTAGGAGCCTTGAAGACATTGTTTGGGTTTCCTCTAGGGTCCGGCTGAGGGCTTATGGATCCATGAGGTGCTGGTTGGAGGAAGAAGGGAGGGGATGGTGTCTGAGCCTGGGGTTTGGCTCAGAAGAGGAAGGAATGTCTGTGCATTGTGGACTTGACTGGTCTCCCCTTGAGAGTTAGTCACGGTTCTAGGCAACCACAGGCTGGATGGTATTGTGAAATGTTCAGTAGGGATCTTGGCCCTGGCCAGGGGAGAGGCCACCATGGCAGGACTGAGCCTTGGTTCAGAGGCAACAGGACATGCTCTGTCTGCTTGATACTGATTGCTTTCTCCCTCCTGCTGTGTTTCCCAGAGATGCAGAGGCCACCTCTTGCCATTTGCATACAGGTGACCATAGGGTCCCTTAATTTTGCTTTTCTTTTCTTGGGCTTCAGGAGTCTGCAGCAAATGAGTTTGGGGCCTGGTTCGGTTTCCTCCTCACAGAATTGTGCAAAGAGAGGTCATTAGGGTCCTGAGGAATAATGTGGTCTCTAGCCCTAGGGCCTGTGCAGGGGACCCAAAGCAAATGTCTCGTAGGGAGATAGAGTGGGTGAATCTGGGGGACCAGGCTGTCTCCCAGCTGCCCCAGCACGGTAGAGGGGAGAAGGTATGGGGTGAGTATGTGCAGTACCAACAGTGTGGCCACTGCTGAGAGAGACAGAGAGAGAGGGAGAGAGAGAGGAGAAGGAAAAGAGAGATGGGGAGAGACAAAAGAAAGATAAGGGAGAGGAGAGGAAAAAGGAGAGAGGGAGAGGGAGATAGAGGGAGACAGAAATAGAGATGAGACATAAAAGGGAGAGAGAGAAGAGAGGGAGAGACAATTTGTCTTTCTGAAGCAATAAGGAAGTGTAGATATAGGGTCCATGAACAAGGCATGAAACTCTGAAATGGGGGTGGGGATTTCGAGGTTTGGAGAGGAAAGACAGAGGAACAGAGGCCAAGAAAGACTCAAAATGGGCTGAAGTGAAGGAAATCTCAGGCTAGATTACAATCTGGGAAAAGCTTTCTAGCTTGTAAGGGCTGAGACGTTGCCCAGAGGGAGGAGAGCTGTCACCTGAAGGACATTTAGCTGTGAGTCAGGTCCCCAAGGACAGAGTAGCGTGACCACGGAGAAGAGGCACCTAAACTGTCCAGGAACCTCCAGAGTGAGAGAGGGGCCCAGGTGAAACACAGGATCAGTTATGTAGGGACTTGCTGGCCTGGGTCAGCCAGGGGGGCTGCTGTAGTAATACCTGGACCCTCATTTCTGCTCCAGAATACAAAGCAGGATCATAGACTTTGCCCTGAAAGAAGCTTTAGAACTCATCTAGTCCCAAGAAAATAGGATTATAGATTTAAGACTGAAAGGGTCCAGCCCCTTCATTTTCACACAAGGAAACTGAGGTCCAGAGAAGTTAATTGACCTGCCCAAGATGACACACAACTAGGGTTCTTACCAATGTCCTCTGACTCCAAACTGCAGGGTTCTTTACACTACCCCACACTGAACTCATGGGACTTATTATTTGTAACAGGAGGGGTGGGTCTGATTCTTTTCATGTCCTAGTCAGGAACCTCAGGCCTACAGGGGTGAAATGACTTACTGAAGGTCAGGCAGTGAATCAAGGACAGCCGCAGCTGCCTCTGTTAGATTTTTAAGGCCCCACCCCCAGACACCCCAGCTTCCTCCCCGCCCCAGCGTCGGCATGGCCAGTAAGAACTTTACACTTGTCAGGGCAGGGAAACATTTGGGTTCGGCCTTTGCCAAGTCATTGGTGAAGAATGCACCCACAGGCCACAGGCCTCACAGCTCAGCTCTGGCTGACCCAGATGCCTGTGGATTGATTATCCTGATAGTACAGGTGCCAAGGGATTCTCACCTGAGCAGGTGGGGGTGGTAGCATGGGGAGGACTGTGACCATTACCCTGACGTTGGGGGGGGTCATAAAGGTCAAGGTAGAACAGTGTCATTGGTGATTGAGGGTGGGACATGTCATGTGTGCGTGGCTCAGGGTGTGGGCAGCTAGCTCGGGATTTGTTTCCTCCAAGGCAGAGGCAGGTCAGGCTGAACTTGAGTTGAGCCTTGAATTGTTTCATTTCTGGGATCCCCATCCCTGACAAACTGGCTGCCCACTCAGGCCAGGATGACTGACGTCAGAGGTTGGCACTGTGGCTGAGGAAGGGTCACAGGGGCAGTCGAGGGGCAGGGCAGCCATGGGAACTTTTTATGAAGAAAGGCATGACTTATCTGAAATACAGAATGAGGGGAAACGGACCTGGGTCATAGCATGTGAAATTTGGACTGGCTGAAAGGAAGGACTCCCAGATGAGGGGGGACTGGGGCCACCAGGCTGAGGGACCCTGGGGAACTCTCTGAATAAAACCCTCCAGCTCTCTGGGCTAGGGCAAGGATAGTTCTACCTGGTGGCGGAGATGGAGGGGGAAAACATCCTTGAAGGAGTCTTTCAGGATGTGGCAGGGGAAGGGCCAGAATGGGGCTGGCACAGTCCCTAGAACTGGGGGGCAGGTTACTACTAGTTCAGGAGTACAGCTGGGGTACAGTACAGGACCACAGGGTATAGAGATGAAAGGGACCTTAAAGATCAGCTAGTTTGCCCCCCTCCATTTTATAGAGGAAGAAACTGAGTCTCAGGGAGACTGAAGACCGCTGGAAGTGTTCATTAAGGAGTAAGTGATAGGGACTGGGACTCAAATTCAAGTTTGCCACTTGCTACCCAGTAGCCCTGAGTAGCCTCCACATTCACACAATTTAGCAGCTGATTAAACAGCCTTTTATAGAACAGAGGATGATTTCATTGGTACAGGGAACTCTCAGGTAGGGAAAAAGCCTCCTCCTTTCTCTCTTAAGAGAATGCCCTAGAGCATAGTTGTCAAATATGTGACCCACCACAATACTCTCCAGTTCAGGGAGCCTGATTAAAATATAATTGGGGAATAATTGATAAAATAAATTTAAAAATACCACAAAAATGGTATTAGATTTTTGAACTAAGTCAATAAGCGACCCACAGGGATCGTTATGAAAGGTTTAGTGGCCCCTGTTTCTGCTGGAGAGTTTGACACCGCTGACCTAGAAACTTGAGAAAGTAAATAATTTTCCCAGGATCACACAGCCCATATGTATGGGAGACAGGACTGGAACCTAGGTTTTTTTGGCTTCAAGACCAGCTCTTTCTTGACTATGCCTCCTTTCCTTTATGGTCCCTCACATTGTTGCCCAATTGCTTGATTTATTAGGAGTCTCATTTTTCATAAGCTCGTCATGATGAAGACCTTGTTTCATGCTTCTCACATGTAACTCATGGCACCATTTAGATGCCCAGTAAAGAATAATAATAATAATTAGCATTTGTATCATGTTTTAAAGTTTATAAAGCAGTTTACACATCCTCACAAAAACCCTAGGAGGTAAGTGCTATCATTATTCACATTTTGCAGGTAAGGAAACTGAGGCTGTAAAAAGACCTATCCATGGTCACATAGCTAGTGTCTAAGGTAGGATTCAAACTCAGGTCTTCCTGAAATTGCAGAATCACAGACTCTCAAAACTGGAAATTGCTTGTTTAACTAAATTAATAGAGGCCACCCACTCCTCTTCATGACACCCTCCTGGGTGGTGAGTTTAGGGAAAGGGAGATGGCTAGGGAGTACCAGTAGCCTAGGAAGATGGGTCTTTTTTAGGGCCCATGGAAGAGAATATTGGGTTGTTGGATGGAGATTCCTGTGGATGCTGGACAGAGAGTTCAGAGAAGGCATTTCTGAGTCTATTCCCAGAGAGGATGTGCCTCCTTGCAGAGTCACCTGCCCTAGTCCTCAGGAAGTTTTCTCTTTTAGTCCAACCTCAGAGCCCATCTATGATCCCATCCACGGGGGAAAAACCAACCTACCAACAGCCACCATAACCGCTTCAGTTTTTTGGTTTTAAACCACTCTTGGGGGAAAATGTGGAAAGGACCATTGACTGGTCTTCCCCAGTGGTGTCTTGGAAGGTGGGATAGTGTGGCCCCCTAGTGGTGTACTGCTGCCACTGCCCTGCCGTCTCAAAGGTTGTGGGCAGGAGCCCTGGGGGTCAGGGGGCCTGCAAAAGCTTCTCTGAAGAATGAATGTGGTATTTCAAAAGCCATGTCTCCAGTTAGCTGCCACCATTAAAACTCTCCTCTAATAATAATAATAACTCGTATTTCTATAATAATAATAGCTGACATAGATGTATCTACAGGTACCTGTATGAGATTATATGCATGAGATATACACATGTGATAACATGTAAAATACTTTGAAAACCTTAAAGATATATACATACATACATACTCTATAATTACTTTGAAAACTTTGAATATATTATATATATGTATATGTATATATACATATATATGCGATGATAGATGATGTCATATTGACGATGATGTGTGTGAGAGATGGGGAGGGGGGAGGTGAGGCAGGCCATCCTTTTTCATTCTATCTTTCTGTCTCCAGGACCAGCACAGTTCTTTGCACATATTAGCCACTGACTAAATTCTTATTGGATTGGAATGAACTGATTAAATCACTGATCTTTTGAATTCCTGAAGCAAATTTCTCTAGAAACCATCTGTCTGCCTGTATTGGAGACATTTACCAGGTTATGATTATAACCTGTGAGTTTCTCTTTTGAGCTCAGGATAGGTGAGAGGAGCTGTACTGGACTGGGCCAGTTTGGCCACAAACTAGCTGCATGACCTTGGACAAGTCCTTCTGTCCTCCCCCCAGACTTTGGTTTTCTCCTTTGCAGAGGAAGGATTTAGACTAATTCTCTCTAAATTAGCCCTTCTGGCTCAGACATTCTGTGCTGCTCTGACCATCTGGGCAGGTTAGAACTGGAGTTTTATTTCTTAGCTGGGGGAGCCAGGTTGTAATATTCTTTTCCTCTAGTGGTTTTGCCTTTTCCCTACTCAACTAAGTTGCACAGTTGGCATGAGGCAAAGTTAAGATGCATTTAGCTTTGCATGTTTAATACTGGGAGGATTGGCTGCCCATGGTAGAATCTTACCACTGAGAGACTGTGCTCACTGCTGAAGCTCCTGAAGACACAGAATTAGCCCAAGCTCATTCCCATTAGGAAAGGATTCCATTCAGTTGGGTGTTTATTTATTAAATGCTATTTAAAACATCGTAGGGGAGTCCTTTGAGATATGTGTCTTGTCTTAAGTAAGGTAAATGAAGCTGTGAATCTCCCCTAACATACTTCCAAGTTGTCGGTTATTGGAGTCAGCCAACAAACATCTTACCTAATGCACCACCTTCAGTATCACAATTATATTTTTGAGAGTGCTTCAATTTATTAAATTAAACTACATACCTAAAAGGGATATTTTCTTTTTAAAAATTATCTTTTAATTTAATTTTTTACGTTCGTTTTTTAAATTCTGAGTTCCAAATCCTCTCCCTTCCCCACCTATTGAGAAGGTAAGCAGTAAGATACTGAAGGGGATATTTTCTTGTACTTTCATTTTCCCTGAATAAGGAACAGTATACTAACACACCATGTAGGAGGTGCTATCTCTGAAGTCTTCAGGCCTCTGGTAGATTTTGCTTTTCTGAACTTTTTAGGAATAGACTCATAGAATCATAGGTATAGATCTTGGAAGGGATGTTGGGGGTCTTTGAGTTCAGTCCTCATATTTTATAGAAGATGATGCAGAGGCCCAGAGAGGTTGTGACTTACTCAGGGCCCCACAGCCACTAACTGTCTGAGGCAGGATTTGATCTCATCACTCTATCTACTCTACCACCTGACACAGATACCCATTAGCCCCTGACAGTTAGGTCACATACTCAGGTTTGCAAATGATCTATGTGGCCTCTTGAGCACTTTCACTACTACAACTGGAATTAATTTAAATATGCTCTGTTCAGGTCAATAGTGTTTCCATAATGATGGGGAAGGGCATTTGCTTTCATTGATTTACTCTTTAAGAGAATGTATGCTGTTATTCATGGGTTTGAATGGATTTATAGGCTCGATGGGTCTGAAACAAAGGCCTCTTCTAACAACAGTTGTCCAAGGATGCCATGTGGCAATGAGTCATGGAACACCAAGTCTCTGTAGAACGAAAGCTGCGGGTCATGCCAAGGGCAATGGAGAAGTAATGGTGGGCAACTTGAGTTGGCTGCAACGTGTCACCAGACATGAGTTGTGCAAGAGAATAGGCATAAGGAATGTTGTCGGGAAGATGGATAACCAGAGAAAGTGGGCCAATCATGTGGAGAGTGAGAGAGAACCAGTGTGCAGTCTGCTGGCTCTGTTGGTATCCATCTGAAGGTAAGCAATCCCTGTGGAAGATTTCTGGTCTAAACCAGTAAGCATTTGTTAGGCACCTACTGTGTGCAAGGACACTGATTGGTGCTGAGGAGTCAAAGTCAAAATGGAAAATGGTCCCCATCCTCAGGAAACATAACTTTCAACTGAGGTGGGGGTGGGATACAACATGTAAATATAAATATAGAGATGATTGTTTGGGATGAAGGGAGAAGAGAAAATCAACAGTTAAAGAGATCAAGAAGGTTTCTTGTAGAAAAGGGTCAGTGAGCTGAACCTCAAAGGAAGCTAGAGATTCTAACAAGGGGAGGTGAAGAGGGGAAAGTCGCAAAGACACGGAGGTGAGAGATGGAAGGGCCCACTCCAGGGAACAGGAGGTCGGCCAGTTTGGCTGGAACCAAGAGGGTGTGGAGGAGAGTAAACTCGTCCTGAAAAGGTAGATGGGAGCCATATTATGTAGGATGTTAAATACCAAGGGGAAGAATTTGTATTTCATCCTAGGGATAATAAGGAGCCCCTGACAGTTTTTGGGCAAGGGAGTCACATGATCAGAGTTAGGGTTTGGAGAATTTATTTTGGCAGTTATGTAGAGAGTGGATTAGAGAGGGGAGAGATTGGAAACTGCAAGTTCCATTAGGAGACTGTTGCAGTAGTCTAGGCAGAAAATGATGACTGCCTGAACTAGGGTGGTGATCTAAGAAATGTAGAAGAGGTAGAATCAACAGACTTTGCAACTGATTGAGTATAGGGAGTGAAGGAAGAGGAAGAGTCAAGGGTGACTCCCAAGTTGTGAAGAGACAGGGAGGATGGCTAGGTGTAAGGGGAAAGATAATGAGTTCTGTTTGGGGCAAGTTGAGTTTGAGAGGCCTATGAGACATCCACTTGGAGGTGTCCAACAAGCAGTTAGTAAAACAGGCTTGGAGCTCAGAAGAGAGGTTAGTGCTGGATATACTGATGTGAGAGGCTTCTGCAGGGGGATGATATTGGATTCCAGGAGAGCTGATAAGCTCACCAATATAGTACATAAAGAGAGAAAAGAAGAGGGCCTTCAATAGAGGCTTAAGATATACTAGGCAAAGTTGGTGGAGCAAAGTGATTTTTTTTTTTTGGCTAGGCAGTGGGATTAAGTGACTTGCCCAGGGCCACACAGCTAGTAAGTGTTATGTGTCTGAGGCTGGATTTGAACTCAGGTCCTTCTGAATTCAGGGCCGGTGCTCTATCCACTGCGCCACCTAGCTGCCCAAGCAAAGTGATTTAAAAGGAGTGGTTTGACAGGTAGGAGAATAAGGAGAGAACATTATCATCAAAACCCATGGAGAGGAAATGGTTTCCAAGAAGAGAAGAATGGACCAACTTTTGAAACATAGAATAGGGGAGAAAGGGAGCTCATGAGGAATGGGCTGTTTTTTTCTTGGCAAGTAATAACCAAGATCTTCTTCTTTGGGAAGGTAAGGGTGAGGGAGATTTATGGGGTTGACATGGATTACAGGAAAGTGATGGCATTCAAAGTTGGGGGAAGTAACCACATTGATGAGGTCACAGGTCCACTGAAGATTATCTAAAGGTAGTCTCCAGTTCATTGGCTGGATCTTCCTTGAGTGACTTGGAAAGACAGAATGAGAATGAATGACACAGGAGGAAGAGGTGTGGAGGGGTCCTCACTCTGCCCTGATGAGGGAGTTAGACTGTTGAGCTCAGAGATCCATCCAAGTCTCAAAACGTTATATTTAATTGGGCCTTGTGAAGGTCTATATGGCTGTCTTCCAAAGATCAGCTTGGAGAAGTGCTGAGAGGCTGGTCAACCAGAAGGCTGGTCACTAGGTGATGAATTCTTTTGGCTACAGAAGCAAATAGACTATGTCTGCTAAGGTGTGGAGAGGTCGCCATCTGCTTCCTTGGAGGGTGCAACCACGCCAATTAAATCATAGATCCCTGAAGGAATTATTATTATTTAAGAGTTCTGTTTTGGGGCTCATTTAAATATGGATTTTGAGTGACAGAATCCCTGCTTTTTGGGCCTGGGCTTGGGGGGGGGTGAGGGGGAGGAAGAGAGAGAGACAGAGATAGAGAGATAGAGAGATAGAGAGAGAGAGTTTATAAAGCCCTACTTGTTGTCAGCTTGCATTCTTGACCATTATGGGTTTGGGTGATAGAGGAACTGTGAGCTGGTGGGACTTTCATGGGGATGGAGTGACAGAAATAACTACCGTGGAAGGAACATTGCTTTGCTGAGTCTTTGGGATGACCTAGACTGAAGGGTTGCATTTGGTTCCTGTTGTCTGAGTTTCCTGGTGAAGTTTTGTTTTCAAATGTGCAGTAAGAAGTGGGGTTAAAGCAATTTCCTTTCACAGAGGAGTCCACTGGTGGTGCTCAGTGACTCTGTGAGGCTGGGGAAGGTGAGAAGGGAGGTGGGGCTTCTCTTCTTAGTGACCTCTCAGTGAGTCTCTTGAAATACTGTTCTTATGTGCTAAGCAGCAGCCCTCCAGTCTCTGAGGGGATGCTCCATGGGGGACAAGGAGCAGCTCGTGGAGGTAGATAGGCAGAAGGCTGCAGTGTAGTGGATTTCAGTTAGACATTGGGCAGAACTTCCTGATCAGATCAGGAGAAACTAGATCAGTAGACAGTAGCTGGGGTTTTCTAGAAGAAGGGGCTGATTTATCAGAGTTGACTTCAGGCTAGGGATTTATGGAAGTGGAGTGCTAGGTGTAAGTGACTTTTCAAGAGCCTTTTTTGGCCCTGGCGTAGTTCTATGACTGCCATATTTTCAGATCGCTGTAGTACTATAGGGGTACCGTGGCACTCACCCCCTTTCTGCTTCTGGGCTTCTCTTTGTTCTCTGCTGTAGCTGCTGAGCTAAGAGGCTTGTGTTGTTGTAAATAGCTTTGTCCTGGCAACCCACCCCCTAACCTGACTGTGTGGGCTCCTGGAACTTGCCCCAGAAATAGCTTTTTTTATGAGGGCAAAAAAAAAAAAAAAAGAAAAAGGCCCAAGAGGGCATGTTCCCACCAATCCCTCCCAGGAAGGAGCCTCAGGCTGGGTGGGACCTGTAGCCACAGGCCTGGGCACTGCCCACCTCCCCCACAGCCAGGGATTCTGAAGATGTGTGGGAGGGAGCTCTGTGGCCTGACACAGTGGAAGGTGTGAGCCTGGCACCATTATCCAGAGATGATTTTTGAAGGTTGGAGGGATGAAGGGCATCCCCCATCTGCCTTGTAGCCCTACCTGCAGATAAGGTAGAGATCTACAGGGAAATGACCGTCTCTCCAGCTGAAATGGCTTGGGTACTGGTGGATGAGTATTAGCAGTTTAAGGTGAGGCCTCACCTGGGGAACAGGAAGTGTGTGTGCGTATTTCTTAGATATGAACTGGAGGGTTCAGAGACTGAAAACATCAATAAGGCTACAGGTAAGTATAGATTTTAATAGAAGAGCAAAATCTGTTGTTTGTGTGAACTACTTGAAAGCAGGGACTGTCTTTGCTTTTTTATGTTTACCGTAATGCACAACACATTATAAAGGCCTAATAGATGCTTCTCCATTGCATTCTATCACCAGGGGATCAGGGGGCGGGGCAGTGGCATACTTCTCTCTGCCTTTGGTGTTTCCCTCCTAGGCTACTAGAAAGTGTAGGAAAGGAGCCAACAGGGTTTTAGTGGACAGTGATTAGGATAGCTCACAGTTCTGTAGTGCTGTAAAGTTTCCAAAAGTGTATTCCTTCCCATCCATTTTTAAAAATGAGAAGATTGAGGCTCAGAGAGGTCGTGGCTTGCCTGGGTAGCAGAGCCGGACCTGAAACCCAGCTCTTTGGGCTCAAAATCTAAAGTTCTTCCCACAATCTGTCTTTCCTGACTCTTTATTTTTCTCCCGCTCCATTCATAGACCACACACCCACAGCCATGTGAGCTTCCTCTGACATGTGCATGTAAGTTGATAGAGATATATGCATAGGGGCAGGCTGTGTGTGGATAGATATGTGGTTAAGTTTGGGGGCAATGATATCATTGGTCTAGAGAACATTCAGTCTGTAGGTCTTTAGGTGGGGCCTGCAGGCCACACATTCCCCATTTCTGTACTAAGGCATGGAAGGGTGAAGTGATTTGCCAAGTGTCACACCAGTATGTGTCAGAGGCGAGTTGAACCTAGGTTTTCCTGACTGAGGCCAGTGTTCTGTCCACCAGCCCTTGCTTCCCCTCATGTTTGTGTGTAGAGAACAGCTTACATATGCACTTCTCATAATTCATTCATCATATATTCAGCACATTGCATTATACTGATTAATGTGCATTAGGGCACATTTTTATGAAAATGTGTTGAGTCACTTAACCTTTAAAAAAAGTTTTATATATAAGCCAGAGCTCATTTCAGAAGCTGTCTGCCCAGACTGAGCTCCAAGGTGCTGCCCATAGGACCTCAGGATGGTCCAGGACCAAGGTGCAAAGCCTTGGGGAAGATGAGCAATCCCATCGTCAGGATAGGAGTACCTGGGGCATTTTCACAGGGTTCAGTGATCTTCAGCTGGTCATGGGGAGGGGGGAGGGACAGGTCAGTTTCTCCATTCCTGTTCTCTTCAGTTGCTTTCATTTTGTCTCGAACCCTGGCTCATTGACCATTAAAGCCCCAGCCCTTGATCATGCAACCAGGCATGTCCTTGCCAGACTCAGAGTGCCTCCCCAGGACAGGAAGAGAAGGAGGGCATGAGGGTAGAGGGCAGAGAGAGAGAGAGAGAGAGAGAGAACACATGTTCCTGGCCGCTGGTCCCTTTCCAAGACAGGTGAACTCTGCGTTGAGAAAGGAATTAATTTAATCTCTTGGCTCCAGTAGACTTTCTCACTCTTCTCCAGCCACCCCCCCAACCTCTAAAGAATTTAATCTGCTCCACAACAAACAGTACTGTTATAAAACTTTGAAAACAAGAGGGCGAGGTCTCCCCGAAAGAGGCAGAAGTGCATGATGGGTAACGGCCAGAGGGAGATTGCCAGGCCTGGGATAGAGCCGGGCGAGAGCCCAGTTGGCTTGGTACCTGGGCACCCGCCCCCACCAGCAATCGTCATTCCTGACAGGAGGGGAAAGAAAAAGAAATGAAAGGGGAGACATCAGAGTTCATTAAAGAGAAGTGTCTATGTATGTCTCTCTCTTTCTCTCTCCACTTCTCTCCCCCTCATTCCCTTCCTCCTTGTCTCTCTCTCTCCTTCTCCCTCTCCCCTCCCTCCCCTCCCCTCTTTCTCTCCTTCCTTCCTTTCCTTCCCCCTCCCCCTTCTCTTTTCCCCCCCTTTCCTCTCTCTCTCCCGCCCCCCCATGGGAATGTACCAGACTGTGAAACTTCCTCCTTCACCCCTCCCTCCCCCACTTACTGTTCCTGGTCATAAGACTCAGAGACAGGTCCCGATAACAAAGTGGGGCTGGTGGGCAGCCCGGGTCCAGCTTCTAGCCATATCATGCTGTAGGGGAAGTAGGCAAGAGGGTATGCTTGAAAGTTGGCGCTGAGCTCAGAACCTGCCCCATGACTGGCCCAGCCCCGTCCCTTCTTCCCCCCTAAAGAGGAAAGTGGAACAACGTCACAGGGCGTGCCCAGCTTCGTGTGCTGTCTGCCAGGTGTGTGCCCAGGCAGTGGGCAGAACTGCTAGTCTGAGGTTAGTTAACATGCCCAGTACCTCCCAGTACAAGAAAGAAGGTGGGCAGGAGGGGATTGTATTAGAGACAGTGGGGAGAACATCTGACCTGTCAGAATGCCCTTTCCTTCAAGACACAGGGCTCTGGAGTTGTCCGGAAGAAGTTGAAGCTGTGCTGGGGACATTGACACCTGGCCGACTCCTGAAAACGTAAGGGTGAAGGGGAGGCAAAGACATGGGCTCCTTCCAGCAGTTCCCCAGCTCTTCTGCAGGTACCCAGCAGTAGAGTCCCTGGTTGGAGACAGAGTGTGCTGGCCATCTCTTGGGCCGTGGATGGGGGCGGGGGATGAGGGTGGGGGGAAGGGAAGGGTGCTCCCCCCCAGCTCAGGGGCCATTGAGGACCAAGCATAGGCACATGGAGGTGGAGGACAGCGGAGAGGAGGGCCTCATTATTCTCCTCCCTTTAGTGCTTCTCCTGACATCACCCCCAACCCCTCAAACTGTTAGATTTCACCCACAGCCAGTTTCACTTTTGAATCTACCTTCCCCCAACTGAAATAGCTTACCCCAAAGAGGATGTTGGTGATTCTTTGGTGTGTGTTTGACAATTTGGACCTGAACTTTGAAGAACAAAACTGTTTGGGGAGCGTGTGTGTGTGTGTGTACACGTACAAGAAATGGCTACGGTGAACTCGTGTGTGCATATGTGCATGCACATACACATGCCTGTTCTCTTCTTGGGAATGGCGCCTTAAGAAGGGGTCACTTAGCTTGGTCTGTCAGAACCAAGCCATCCCCCTAGGAGAGCCTGCCTCACATCATCTTAAGCATGGTGGGCCCATGGGGTCCCCCCCTAAATTGGGGGCGCCAATGTAGACCACTAAGAATTCCAAAATTACTTCCCCATCCCCCATATTTGAGTCTGATGTTAATTAAGGGCCTACCATGGGGCTCTAACAGTTTGTTTACCATTCTGGGGGGAAAAAAAAAACACCAATGAAAACCTCTTTAGGAACTAGTATCCTAGAAGCATAGGCCTTCCCCCTTGCTGCCCTTAGGGAAACCAAAAAACAGCTGGTTTTAGGGATCCTCACTTAGTAATTTCATGGGTGTAGGACCTTCTTCCGCTGATTTAGCCTACAACTCCTTTTATATTTTGTAATTGGTCTTTGTGAGTTGTTGTGGCCTGTGACCAGCCTGCATGAAGGCTCCTTGCACACTGATGGAGGCCTTGGCAGTCACTGCTTCCTAGAAAAGGCAAGCATGACTTCTCTCTGTATGGTTCCTACAGTAGGTGAAAGCCACATAAAGGCTTTCTTAGGGTAACATGCCAGTGCAAAATGGTTTGTTTCCCACTGAATCACAGTTCAAAGCAAGCTAGCTGTGAGTGCCAAATGAATTGTCCGGGCCTCCCCTTCTTCAGAAGGACAACTTGGGGTGAATGGCAGCGTGTGTTCTGAATTGTTAGCAGGGGCCTGAAGCCAGGGTGTGCTGCAAAGCAGAGCTTGGTCCTCCGGTTTTGACCCAAAGGCCCCTCATTTCACCCTTCCTCTTCACAACCAGGCACACCAAAAGCCTCTCTGCCAATGGCAAGAAGCAGGGTTTCCTGCCTGGCCTCCTGATGGACTGGCCGGAAGCAGGACTTTTTTGTTTTGTTTTGCTTTTCACATCAATCACTCACGTTAAGTAGCTGTGACTCAGCACGAGAGGCAAGAACCGGATGGAAAAGCTGCTGCCTGGGTAAGAGCCTCCACAATGAACTAGATCAAAGTCTCTTGTTTCGGCCCAGGGAGGATGGCCACAGTATGGGCACTTGCAGCTTACTATAGTGAGTGGCTAGCCAGACGTGTCCAATACACATCTGCACTGTGTATTTGTTTTGGCATTCAAGTATGAGGATTCCTCCACCTCCCTTTCCTCCCTCCCCACATTTCCTGCAATGTCTCCATTTTCTTCTTAACCAAGTATTTATGAAGGACTTGCTGTGTGCCTAGCACTGTGCTTGGCACTCTGAGGAGGCACAGTCCCTACTCACCAAAAGAACTTGAAGGCCATATCATGAGCAAAGACACTAGACCACATTGATTCTATAGCTAGGGTCCACCCTTTTAGTCTGGTCAAGATCTCCAAGCCTATTTGGTCCCAACCCTGACTTGGCTTTTCCTTAAAGACAATACAGATAAAACCCCTCCCCTCCCTATTCCTGCCCACTCACTCTTCTTATTTTGGTTGACATCACCCAGGAGGATGTTTTGAGAGAGCCCCACCACCTCCTTGGTCGGTGGTTGGTTTGGTTAATCCCTGGAATGCCCTTTCCCAGCCCAGGTCAATTCTTCTTGGCCGTATTCTAAGGCATTGGGGAAAAAAGCCCAACTATTTGAGTAAAGATATAAAGCTCTTGAGATCAGGGGCTACTGTTTTGGTCCTTGTATGCGCAGTGCCTTAGTGCCTTGCACACAGTAGGCATGTAAATAACTGTTAAATTTAACATGGGGAGACAGTATAGCTTGGTTGGCTGTGGCTCTGGGAAGGCTGGAGTCAATGACAACTTTGTGATAGGATGGTAATATTGAAGAGGTTAGTGTCAGGGTCACCTCAACCATGGGCAGAGAAGGCTTTATAAAGCAGGGAGCCCGGGCTGTGTAGTCTCCATAATCCCCATGTCTCTGAAGGGAGCATGTTTAATCTTGAATACCACCAGGAAGGTGTTTTTTTGGTTGTTGTTGCCTGCAAATTAGGAGATTAGTAGAGAGATTCAGGCTTGATGGAAGCAATGCCACTGCCTTCTCAAAACACAAAGTTTTTGCAGAGGTGAGATTCTAATCAACAAATTGTTTCCAAAATGTAAGATGATGTTTCCCAGCAGTGACAAGAAGGTACCTTAGGCCCTTCGCCTAATGAGAATTAGCAAACGTAATATATTTTGCCTCCTCTTCTATTCCCTTTGGATTTGGTGTCCCAAAAAATAACTCTGAATAAGCCCGTGTGTCTGTTTTCTTAGCCTGGTGATTTGAGAGTGACAGAGAATTTCATTTGGTGAAGGATTCTTAATCCTTTCTATGTGATGGACTCTTGGTGGTTAGGTGAAGTTTGTGAACCCTTTTTCAGAATCATGTTTTCAAATGCCCAACATGAAATTAAAATAGGATTAAAATGGAAACAAATTCTATCTATTATTAAAACTGTCAAAATAGTTTTTTTTAAAGTTCACAGACCACACTTAAAGAACCCCTGATCTAGGTAGAAAGGGGAAGGAAGGGGAAGTATGGGGAGAATTAATGCATGGCATATGGCCTGATTTAGAAAAATCCTTTGGGAGGCCCATTTACAGGCAAACCAGGAAAATCCCCCCATCTACATTATACGTGAGATGGGCTCCTCAACTAAAACTGTCAATGGTTCCTGCACAGGCTGGAGAAGAAACCACAGGTGGGTGCTAAATCTCCTTCAATGGAAGGAGGCAAAATGCTGGTGTAGGTGGGGAAAATGTCCTTGTCATATGAGAGCTAATGGTGCATTGCAATAAGAGCTTTTAACTCCTGTTTATGTCTACAACAACATGATTAATCTGATCTCTTTTGGTCTGATAGTATAAAGTTAATACAGAAAGGGGTTTGTGTTGCCACCTCTTAGAAAATAGGAGGGTGGTTTCTGCATTGTTCTAGTCGCCATTATGTTAACTCTGTCTCCTTCTGTGCCATGATCATAATTGCACCTTTTGTCACCAGTGGAGGAGGAAGAAGACCTTCCATCTCAGAACAGAGACTGAGGCTTCCCCCTCTTCAGGATGTTGCTCTTCTTCTGGAAGCTGGTTTCACATGGTGGCTTAGATTTTTCCATCTCTGTATCTAGCACCATTTGAAATCAGTGTTTTAGGAGTAAGAATTGCAGCAAGGGAAGGACATACAGAGACATTTTAGTGGCTCATCTGCTTTTTAGATCTGCCATTTGGACTGGGAAAAGACTCCCTCCACAAGAGGATAATTGTCATAAAAATCAAATTAAAGGGTAGGACCACGTTCAAGGTATTAACTCCAATGATAATGCTATGAGGAACTGAGGCCAGTTTTGCATAGGTCAGTTGAAAAAACAAAAACAAAAACAAATCAAAACACTGGATGGGGGATCTCAAGACCTGAGGTTCTAATCTCAACCAGTTACTAGCAGTGTGAGCTTGGACTAGTCAAAGGCTCTGAGTCTGTTTTCTTTTCTTCAAAATGGAAATTATAGGGGCAGCGAGGTGGCACAGTGGATAGAGCACCGGCCCTGGATTCAGGAGGACCTGAGTTCAAATCCAGGTGCAGACACATAACACTTACTAGCTGTATGACCCTGGGCAAGTCACTTAACCTCACTGCCTAGCAAAAAAAAAAAAGAAAACCCAAAACAAAACAAAATGGATATTATACTTACCACCTACCTACCTCACAGGGTTGTTGTGAGGATGTATGACAGTATTTTATAAATATGATAATACTCTTTTTGAATGTTAGTTAACAGTCCTGCCCAAGCGTGGTAGGGTCCTCGTAGTTTCATAAAATAAACACTTCTTGGTTAATGAATGTCATGATTTTAGTCTTCAATTGAGTGGTGATGTGTTTTTCTGGAATAATGAGAAGGGTAGCTGTAGCACCCCTGGGCAAAAACTGTTTATTACTTGCTTGAAAATTTGAGGTTATTTGTACATGCAAAGATGTCAGCCATTGTTATAATACAGCAGAATTCCACAAATCCTACTGGACCTCTCTCTTACACAGGCTGACCGATTTCTCTTGGTGTTCAGAGTCTGTTTTTGTCTAGCACCATTTGAAATCGGTTATGATGTAGGGGGAAAAGCAGCAGTCCTGGAACGCTATGCAAGGCTGATTGGTTAGTCGTAGCACAAATCATGGGGGAAAAAAGAGCACACTTCTTAGTAACCAACTGCAACTGCATTGAAGCTTCTGAAACTCAGAGGTAAGAGACAACCTAATGGATAAATGCTCTTTGGACAGGTGAATGAATCCACGTGATTTGATTCCAGTCCTGTTTTGCCTTTTCTTTGTAATTTTGAGGTGCTATAAAACGATTAAATCTATAATAAGGTTAAATGCACTAATAAATTTTTTTCTGCATTGCTTGTCATGTCTATTTTTCAACTTCTCCTTCCCATTCAATTCCATGAGGTTGAGAATAAGAAGGCATAAAGGACAGGACAAACAAAACTGGGAAAGTAAACTAGTCTATATACATTGTATATACGGCTAAGGGGTATAGTGGATAAGAGCACTGGACTTGAAATTGGGAAGACCTAGATTCAAATTCCACCTTGGACACTGTGTGACTCTGGGTAACTCATTTAAACTTCTCTGGCCCTCAGTTTCCTCACCTATAAAATAAGGCTTTAAACTTACAATTCTTCTGTTAGTCTGACATACAAGGCCAATTTCCCTCTTAATTTCTTCCTCCCTTTCCTGGCAGTCTGGGGAGTTGATCCTTTAAAGTCACTCACAGTGTGATGTCCACGTGGTTTGTGGTGGCCTTGCCACTAGAGGGCCCAAGATAGGAAGGTTTTCACAGAATCCTATGTGGAAAGGAACTTCAAGTGACAATGTAGATGGAGGGGTGGGGGGTGTGAAGTGTTAACCTTTTTTTGTGTGCCATGGACCCCTTTTCTGAAGTATTTTAAATGTATAAAATACCTAGGATTGCAAAAGAAACCAATCAAAATATCAAAATACAGATGTAATTATTTTTCCACAACCAAGTTTATGGGCCTTTCTGAAATTCTCCAGGTCTGTGAAGGCCAGGTTAAGAATTCCTGATCTAGTGAATCTGTACCTAAATGAAACCCCTGCAAAGCTGACAAGTGGGTCTCCAACCTTTGCTGGAAAATGTGTCTGGAAATCTTCACTCTAGATATTTGAGTAATTACTGCCTTTTTAACTTGAGTTGAATTGTCAGTGGCTGGTTTTGCAGAAGGACGGACACTGACAAGTAATATAGAATATTCCCAAATTAAGGAAGGGGGGAGGTTACCAACTTTATGGAAGAAATGATTCTTTTAAAGTAAAATGCTATGACACCATAAATATTAAATTACCAACTAGTTTCTCAAGTTTCAAAAGGGTTGTAGACATAAATCTAGAAGAGTGTAAAAAAAAAAGTTAAGCCTCATTGAATACATATAAAGGGATCAGCCAATAGGCCTTTTAAAAAGAATCTTAAAGGAGTACAATGAAATTATAGGAATCCTGAGTAATAGTGAAAACTTTGGGAGCAGCTTTCATTCATGCCATATTTGAACTGTCTGGAATATGAGGTTTGTATAGCTCATCACTTACTCATAATGAAACAAGTCATGGCTAATTCTGGCTTTTCTTCACCAATCCTACGTGTCCTAATACTGGAGAAAGTCCACCAAGATCTTTGCAATTCAGCAAAAAACCAAAATGAAAACCAAAAAAAAAAAAGCCTATTCAGATAAAGTTAGAATTATATTTTTATTCAGTTTACAACAATTCATACATCCTGGGTGGCCATCTTGCCATCCTTTTCAAGGACATCATCTGTAATTTTTATTCAAGTAGGAAGACCTTCCTTTTCCCACAAATTCTTAACAGAGAAGGCACAAGTTGTTGATGAATAGCCAACGTTCATATAAAACCGATTTCCCTAGCTATTTGAAAGTACATGTGTACGAGGAAAATTACATTTAATCCTAAGTTACAGTTTTAAAGATATCCAAGAAGCTTTAGCAAAAATATATATATATATATTACACATACAATAGAGAATTTCATAAGTACCTGCATAAGAGGATATATTTAAAATAAACACCAAAATTAGGTTTAAAGAAACCTCCACAGAAATCAGTTTAATTTATTTTGCAGAAAAATCTGTTTCAAGAGTCATCTACCCAGTTTTAAATAGGTTATCTCCTCCTTTACTTTAGTAAGGCATTCCTAAAAACCTGAATGTGAAAAAGACAAAGCCAGTTCCTGACATCACGAATGCAGAACTCTCATATTCTTCATGAATAGCACAAGTAAGATTACAAGAAATACTGAAGCACTCCTTTACATACAAGTTAGTGCTTATTGATACATAACAGCATTCTTTCCTAGCTTAGCTGGAGTTACTAATTGTCCTTCAAAACAGAACTTTGTTACATACATTTAATGCAAGAAGATTTGTAATTCAAAGGAAAACTCCTCCCTTCTATTGCATTGGTCCAAATTGGTGAGGTATAGATTGAATTATGTCCCCTAGTCATTTCTTTCAAAGTATACGTAATATGCGTTTGTAACATTAAGTAACTTCCAACTTGCATGGCCCTTCTTGCAGAGACTCTAGATATAGTTACTGAGCCTTTAACAAAAGGAACCTTAAGCCAGACAAATTAGTGATTATCTTTGCAGGAGTCTTTGAGAGGCACCAAGAGCCAAAATGCATTTCTGAAGAGACTTGGGACAGTCAGCTGTCATGAAAGAATGCCCCCTGACAGGCTTGTAGTCTAGACAGACACTTTGAGGGAACTGACTTAACTGTGACTTTCATGTCCACAAAGCTATTCTGTTCTGAGGAGAGATTATCAGTTAATGGAATTATCAGGAGAACGAAGTAAAATGTCACTCTGAGAAATCTGTTACCAAGATTTGGGAGAGCTTGGAGAAGCCAGCAGTTCCTGCTGAGAGTCTCAGTCAGCAAATTCCCCGTTCTGCTGTTCCAGAACGGAGGGGTCTCTGGCTGGGACTTTTCTCACAGATGAGACATCGCTTAAATACACTGCACTGCTTGTTACTGTTAATCAATTATGTAGGCAGCAACCGATGTTCCTCTAAGCTTTGAGTCTGGGGTCTGAGACAAAGGAAAAGAAAGAGATTTCCTCTAGTTTACCACCTCACTCCCCCGGGGCATGGGCTCAAAGCTAGTGAATTAGTGGTGAATGTTTGCATTTTATGTAATTTGGGAGGTGATTTTATTCACGACCTTGGAATCCAAAAAGAGAAAAAGAATAAGGTGGCAGACTGAAGAGTGGGATTTGGTGTATTTGTCCCCTGGAAGACTTAAGAGGCATTTCTCACACACCAATCATAACCCCAAAGGAGTCCCATTTACGGGATTATGACATTGGGGGCAGGGGCGGGGGTTGACCAAAGCCCGATGGGTTTATTCCTACATATGTGTATACACACAGACACACAATAATAGGAAAGTTACATTCTGTACCACACCAGAATTTTAAAAAATCATGAATCCCAAGTGCGTGTACACTTCAAATATATATATAGGTAGATACACATATATACACACTGTCGACCTGAAAGTTTAGTTAAAGAAGGCAAACAAGTTAGGTGATACGTGATTATATAGTTTATTCCCTTTTCAGCTAGCGAGTCATGTACATGGAAGCCAGAATGTGATTCTGACTCAGAGATTAAGCAAAATGAGAGAGGTTTTATACAGTTTAGAGTGATCAGACTCCATGTTTTTTTTAAACAATATAGCATGGAAAATGAATTTTCTTAATTGAATAGGTTATAAATACAATAAAATAGGAAATGTAAAAGTGTCAAGTGAAATTATAGACCAAGATAAGAAGAGTCCCATTATTTAAGAGAGTGTCTGGTCCCAGACATCCTGGGCTTAGTGATAACGAACAGGAAGAATGCTGGTCAGTTCAATCTGGTCCTGGAATTTGCTGACACAGGAAGGGGTGTTTTTAGTTCAGTCAGAGAGAAAAAGATTAATTCAGGTTTTTGGCCCTTATTGGGGCTCAATTGATCTTAAATGATTATCATTTCCTCCTTTTGGTCAAAGGTAAGCTGAAGGTTTCACCTGTAGACCAAGAAAGGTGTGGGGAAAAAAACTTTCCTCTTCTTCAAGGGATGGAAAGAGATCTCCACTTGGAGCAGGCATCTTCAGATGATCCCGGAGTCCACATCCAGAAGTAGGCAGCTATGGGAGTAGTCACATAGACCTGCTAGGGGCTTTTAGAAGATGTATGAGTTGGTAATTGAGAGAAAATAATATAACATAAGTCTTTAGTTAAAGGCACATAGAGATGGTTCAGTTTCCCAGCCACACAAGGCTAGGTTCAATGCAACAAAGTTTTCTCATAATTCACAAAATCATGTAATTACATTAAGTCAGGTACAAATTAAACTAGTCAGAGAGCTCACAATAGACTAGTTTTGAGAAGAGAGATTTACATGTAACCGAGATAACCAAGAAAACTTAAACATGAATCATACAAAGCAATACAATCATTATTACCA